AACATGGTGTTTGTTGTGGACAAACTGTGACTAGCACAGAAGTCCAATAACAAAACACCACTCGGATTTAGATCGGGGAGGCCGTTCTTCCCAATCACGCCCCTCCAGGTGTCACTGTCGTTGCCCACGTGGGCGTTGAAGTCCCCCAACAGGACGATGGAATCCCCGGGAGGAGCACTGTCCAGTACTCCTCTCAGTGTCAGCAAGAAGGCCGGGTATTCTGCACTGCTGTTCGGCCCGTAGGCCGAAACTACAGTGAGGCACCTGTCCCTGCCCCGAAGGCGCAGGGAAGCGACCCTCTCACTCAGTGGGGAGAACTCCAACACACGACTGGCAAGCTGGGGGGCTATAAGTGAGCCTGCGCCAGCACGCCGTCTCTCACCGCGGGCAACTCCAGAGTAGAAAAGGGTCCAGCCTCTCTCAAGGAGTTGGGTCCCAGAGTCCAAACTGTGCGTGGAGGTGAGCCCGACTATATCTAGTCGGTATCGCTCAACCTCCTGCACGAGCTCAGGCTCCTTTCCCCCCAGAGAAGTGACATTCCATGTCCCCATAGCCAGAGTGGTTGTCCAGGGATTGGGCCGTCGTGGTCTCCGCCCACAACCGCCACCCAAATCACAAGGCACCGGCCCCTTGTGGGCCTTCCTGCGGGTGGTGGGCCCACTGGAAAGCGGACTCACGTCGCTTGTTCGGGCTGAGCCCGGCCGAGTCCCGTGAGCAAGGACCCGGCCACCAGGCACTCGCCTGTGAGCCCCAACCCCGGGCCTGGCTCCAGAGTGGGGCCCCGGTAACGCCAATCCGGGCGACGTGAACCTCTTTGCTGTGTTTTTCTTCATCAAGGGGGGTTGAACCGCTATTTGTCTGATCCGTCGCCTAGGACCTGTTTGCCTTGGGAGACCCTACCAGGGGCGTTAAGCCCCCGACAACATAGCTCCTAGGTTCATTCGGATACTCAAACCCCTCCACCACGTTAAGGTTGCGATTCAAGGAGAGATTTTGAGAGATTTTGAAATTCCAATTGTTTATATTTTTTATTCACTTTCTTCACTTAAAGATAATCCAGCGATATTTTTTAAAAATGTTAATGTTAAAATTCTAAACGCATTCGAGACAAAATAAACTAACGAACGTTAGCGTGAACGTAATTAAATTAACATTTCAAGGCGCACACCAACAGTCGCTGATATTTATCGGACCTGGCAACCTTGGCTACTGCGGAAGACAATGGCGTTGGGAGTTCTTCAGCGAATGGTCCGTATGGTGACGTCAGGACGATCATCATATCCGGAAGAATGACGCTTCACTTCTATCGTCAAAGGTAAGTCGACATCCGTTATGAAGTTGTTGTTGAAGAATAAAAAGTCGCCTGTTTTAAAAACCATTTCAACTTTTCGTCGTTTCCGTCTTGTTTAGGTGACGTCTGTACAAATGTTGAACCGGAAGTTTCTTTCCTCCTGAAGACGCAAACAGAGTCTTTCCGTCATTTCGGTTCCGCACAACGTCTGTAAGGAAACTCAAAACGTTTTTGTCGATTCAAGGACAAATGTGTCGAGTGCTGGTGAATAAGTTTTAAGTTTTATTTCCACAGTTTTTATTTAAATGATTGACGAAACAAATTAGACTGTTTTCGCGCCGAGAAATCAGTAGGTTTATTAGTGATTTATAAACGATGTGTATTTCGTAATTGATCAATAGTCAGTCATTTTTTTAGCATTTATTTATTTATTAATTTGACGTTTTTATTTTTGCCGTTTACAACCAAAATATAAGAGACGATATACTACGAGAACAAAATTTTAGCAAAAAAAATGTTTTCTTTCTATTTAAGTTTCTCAGTTTTATTTCCAGTCGTTATGTGTTTATAACCGGGTGTACTTAGTGACAGGACCAGTATGTGTGTGTGTCATCTCTATGTCATCCATTCTTTCCGCAGAGATGATACGAATTTCCGCAGAACCACAATGGCCTCCTACTTCGACGAACACGACTGCGAACCAACCAACCCCGAGGAACAGTATCGACAGAACGCACTTCTGGAACTGGCCAGGTGACCACGCACACACAGAGGGCGTACCATATATCGGGATATATTGCGATGCTACATGCACGACAATATATTACAGTTGTAGGAAGACGGTAACCGTAGTAAACAGTGTTGTCACATGCCTAACATCGGGTTACAAACTAAATTGATGCGGTATCGTGAAACGAAATATTGCGATATTTCAATGCACCGATGATTTCCTCGTCATAGATCTCTGGTGTTGACGCCACGTCTCTGTACTCAGATCTTTGATGCAGGGCCTGGACCTCCTGGACTCGGGGGTGTTCGACTTGTCCGACTGGGACCAACGACTTCCTCCGCCAGCTGCCAAAACAGCTGTTCAGACACTCACCGTCGTCGTCATTTCTCCCGAACAAGCAGGTGACGGATGAACGTTTAAACGAGAAACGTAGTTTATGTTCTGTTTTTTTATTTTAATCTTCATTAATAATATATATTTTTTCCATTTCCCACAGACAAAGGTCTGAAATGTCCTGTCTGTTTGCTGGAGTTTGAAGAACAAGAGATAGTGCGAGAAATGCCCTGCAAACACCTGTTCCACTCCGGGTGTATCCTGCCCTGGCTAGGAAAGGTGAAATTAAGTCATTCACTTTCTACTGACAGTCACTGGGGGGGGGGTATATTGGCAGGAATCGATTCGTATCGCGATACAGGGGGCAACGATACGATTTTTTTTCCCTTCCCCACCAGTGTAGCTGTCGTCCTAATGACTGAGGAGATTGATACTGGATCAGGAGAGGAGATATTGCGATATTTTCTTACGCCCCTAGAGGTCACTGATGGGATTGCATGGTGGCCGGCGTTCAGTAAAGTCTCCTAATTCTTCTTCTTGTCATTCCTACATCCGTAGACCAACTCCTGTCCTCTCTGCCGACTTGAACTTCCAACGGACAATCCAGAGTACGAGGAGTTCAAAAAAGACAAGGTCAGTGCAGGGCGGGTCGAGAGTGAGTGATGTCATCACTGAGACAACCAATCCCAAACGTGTTTTTTTTTTCCTGTTCCTGTTCTGCAGGAGAGAAGACGACAGAGGGAGCACAGACTGGAGGATCTACACGGAGCCATGTACACGTGACATGGTGGTGCTGTGGTGGAGACTGACAGAAACGGTCGAATCCCATCGTCGCGGATTGCAAACGAAGCCTCATTTCTGCGGCTTGAAGATCACACGTTAACGTTATGCTAACGTTTATCACGTCACCTTCACAATAAAATGTTCCATTCATCTGTATTTGTCATATAAAAAAAAAATTAATACTTTATTTTCGTCAGATATCAGCCTTAATTTCCTCCATTTACGTGGAACAAATTTCGGGGGGGGGGGGGATAAAAGACTAGAAACCAGAAATGTGCTGATAATTTAACATTTCTATTTAATCTTTGAATATAAATCTCTGTCAAATTAAAACAAATGATAGACAAATCGTTTCATATTTACATCATTCAAAAAAAAGGAAACACGAATCTGTGTTGATTTCAGATATTTGTGA